AAAAATGGTAATAAGTACGACACCGGCGGTGATGATGATCTGTTACAATTACACTGCACCACTGCAAGAAGTCTTGTGCACAAGACGGCTAGTAACGAACTGCTCGCGCTACCTACATTGCCACGAAGTGACACTGCCGATCGAGGCCGAACAAGTACGAAGAAATACGTATACGGTCCAGAATTAGTAAAATTGTGAATAACATTAATATTAACATAATATGGAATATCAATATATTTTAAACACAATCTTAATTAATGAATTTGAAATCTATGAACAAGTATTTTTTTACCAGTACTCATTGGAAAATTAGTTCAATTGGCGCATTTCTGCACAATTCTTTCGCGGGCTGGATGTTGCCCGCGGGCCGAATGTTGCCCGCGGGCCGTAGTTTGGATACCCTTGGTCTAGATAATGTGGGACCCTCAACGTCTCACAACCCTATGGGCCCTCACGGCCTGTTACAGGGATAGCTTTACTTTTTTGCTTACTCAAAGTAAATGCACATTATCACCACTTAGGAGTGCCTATATACGAGGTATGGATTTGTGAGTGGATTTATTCACCACTTATGCACATCGCTCGGAACCACAAGTAATTATAGCGTTATCGCTAGTCTCCACACTTCACAAATCACCACAGCACCCGCTAAGCCTTTTCCTGCCTACTGTGTCTTCAACCGTTTCCTGGCTACGGCTTCTAACAATTGACATTCTCCAGCTTCACGTGCTCAGGTTCTATCTTCGCAGCCCCCCATACAGAACTCATCTCTCAACTAACTAGCTCTGAGTCTTATGCCACGACCGATGGTTAGTCGGCCAGTCTTGGAATAAAGCATTCATCTGGGATTTAACAACCAGATTTTTATTACTGCCAGAAAATGCGGGTTTCTTTGTGTGGGGCGCTCTCTCTGGCGAGAGGACGCGTCTGTCGTTTACAGTGCATCCGGTCCTCGCCAGCGCAGTCATTCTCGGGTCCGAGCCCTGTGGGACTCGTGACCATATTTTACTGTCTCACATTCGAGACTTCGCTTTTCGTCGCCTCCTACGATTCACAGGGCTACGGTGGGGGTATTCGGCCCCCGCCTCCACACTGGCTACCCCCGATTGTCTTCCTCACAACCCCTTTACACGGACCGAGTAGAAAAATTCGTTTCCAACAGTAACTATTATTTTTTTTAATTTCATGCATCCTGTTGTTGTAAACAACATTTCCTACAGTACGGACAACACTTTGTAAGATGAGGCACCGACTAAACAATTAACATTAATTTGCTACATCTACATCACGAGCCTCCTATAAAATCTTATATAAAAAAAGAAAAAATATAGAATATTCCAATTTGTCCATGGAAACGTATGATAATACAAAACCAACGACTGATTCGCTGTTATAAGACATCAATTAAAATTTCATTCTTGTTTTATACTATAACTTCTGTTTTTTATATAATCTGATTTATTGTATTTTTTACGTCAATTGTTTTACGTACAATATGTTTAATAGTATTGTATCCAGTTTAATAGTACTGCAATTCAGTGGTGTATATATGTTAAACATATATTTGCCTGATGATGGCTATTGATAGCCGAAACATGTAGCAGAGCCGTAGCTGGACACTGAACTTGATATTTGTTGTGTTGTGACGGTTAATAAAGAAATAGTAACTCTATTGTTATATATGCATCTTTACCGCGCTGTTGTATAGTAATGGTTGTTGTCTCGTTTTTTATCGAGGTATTTGCCTAACAACAGGTCTCTACGCCACAATATAAATTGCTGGAAAAGTCTTGGTATAAATATTTTGGACATCCTTGACATGTAAGAGATATAACAAGGAGAGAAAATGGTCAGCATCCGATATCTGAGATCTGCACCATCAAGACAATTCCCAGACAAACAACGCCATCATCTGTTTATTATCATCTCATCGTGTTTACTCGAGGATGTCGATGTATGGGCAAAATACAGCACTCAAGGAAACTTAACTATACTCATGGACATCGTTTGCTCCTGCAAAATACGGCCCGCAAAACGCTAAACGCGTTCGACACTTCAACGATTTCCGTATTTCTGAGCCCATCTCGTGCTAAATACGTGTATTTCTCACAACGAGGAACGCTCTGAACAGAAATTATAGAGATAAATTAAACGTACAGTTTCTGTTCAATTCAATTTTCCCACGAATCTTGCTGCTTCAGACGTAATGAAAGAAAATGAGTCGAGCACACAAAAACTGTTATGGTACACATTTGCTGTGTTTTTAATTACAGGAGTGGGGGAAATATAATCTCTGGGTACTGGAGCCTCGGACGTGACTGACGTACCAGCACTTAATGTTAGATGAATACGGAGCATTGCTGGAATGATAACTGGCAGGAGTGGTAGGAGAAAAACTTGCCTCAGTGCCACTACGACCACAGCCAATTCCAAATATTAATTTCAGTTTTTCCACGCTCATTTGTCGCACGTTCTGGCGAACCATTGTTATAAACGGAGCTGTTTCTAGACAGCCACACAACTAACCAATGGTTCACTAAAGTTTTGTACACACCATGAGAACGAAACAGAAAGAACATGAATGTCCGAACTCCATCGAAAGTTTATTCGCTCTTCGTTGACTCCGTCTACTCTAAGAGCAACGTTCGCAGTTGGCCAAGTTCGGCGTAATCACCACCTTTGCAAACGCAACTGAAGCCTGTGTAGGCCTTTATGTTTGTGGTTTTGTCTCCAGTTGCTTCAGTTCGCACCCGAACTATGACAGCAGCGAATCCATTTTGTTCTTACCTTCTGACACCTCGCAACCAAGCGGTTGGCTAATCTCTTCCCACGCACTGCTCCTTCGCAAATGCGCTTTATGAAACCAACTTGCTGGCTCTCCGAAACATTTTCTTTTCATGTATTCAGACACTACAGATTCTGTATTATGGTCTGGCTACTCCGAGACAGAAATTGGACTTAACAACAAAGACAGTAAAGTAAAAAAGTAAAACTATCCCTGTAACAGGCCGTGAAGACCCGTAGGGCTGTGAGACGTTGAGGGTCCCACATTATCAAAGATATTATAAGGTTGTCAGCCTTACGCGCCGGCCGCGCTTTACTCCCCAGGAAAATTATTTAACTAATCCCTGGTACTCATTTCTGTTAGAAGCTGAGTAAACCCCAGGGCCTAGTGCGGCTGGTAGGATTAGGTCGATTGATAAAAATCCAATGACCTCATCGGGAATTGAACCCGCGACCTTCCTGCTTGTAGCATAGTGCCCCCAACAAAGACAGAACGAAAGGAAACGGTTGAAGGAGAAGCGTTCATGCGAACAGAAGCTAACAATAAGCAAGTTTAATTGGAGGGCGTAAACCGAGCTAATTAAACCGCTGATTCTTCGGTCAATAGAATCGTTCGGATTACTGCATTTAAAATAAAAATTTAGAATTTTTATTAAAACTGTTTATTCGAAAAATATATAGGTAGAGTTTGTACACAGATCGAAAGCCGCGAAGTTTCGACACGCGCCGGGTTCTGGTCAGGCGGTAACCGGGTTACATCTCTCACCGCCCAGAGAGGCACGTCCTTCTCAAAAATTAATTTCTATTCTGAAAAGGTGAAATAAATGGATTCAATTTGAGGTTTTTGAGATCCAGATACTTATAGTGGTGGTACTGTTATGTCAGTTTGTATTACAGATATTCCTTTGTATTTCCTGTCCACAGTGCGAAAATAGGACATCATTTTGCTTCCCGCTCTGCCAGTGAAATGGACCTCCAAGACAAAATAAACAGTACATTAACCTACCGTTGAAATTCGTACAGATTAACCGTTTTCCGGCCGACTTCTTTTCCCGCTCGCATAGTGTATACGGTAATTGAATCTGAACCAAGTTAACAAAGGCGATTGCGCTGTTCGTTATCCTGCGGTCCGTTACTGGCCGAGCGGTACATCAAAGAATCTTCGTTCACAGTGTAGACAGGAAATACTATAAATATTTCACGTTCGCTTCTGTTCGCATGCGCGCTTCTCGTTCAACCATTTCCTTTCATTTTCTCACAGCACTTATTGACGTTCAATTTCTATTGTGGAGCAACCAAACGATACTGCGGAGACTATATTATCGGAATACAGGGAAAGAAAATGTTTGTGGGATCCAGCAAATTGGTTTCATAAACCGCATTCAATGAAGAGCAAAGTGTGGGAGGAGATGGGCCAACCGCTTGGTTGCGAGGCGTCGGAAGAAAACGAAATGCATTCGCTTTTGCCACAGTTTGGGGGGGGGGGGCACGCGGTAGCGTAGTTGGTTGCGGAACTATGCTACAAGCCGGAAGGTTGCGGGTTCGATTCATGATGTCATTGGATATTTCAATTGACCTAATCCTTCCAGAAGCACTATGACCCTGTGTTCGACTCCGTCTCTAACAGAAATGAATGCTAGGAATATTCCTGGGGGTAAAGGAAGGCCGGGGCTTAAGGCTGACAACCTCACCGCCATCTGTGAGCCGATTGTCTAGAAAAAGTAGGAGCCTCAACGTCTCACAACCCTATGGGTCTCCACGGTCTGTTACAGGGATAGCTTTATTTCTTTTCGGGTGTGCACTGCAGCAAGTGGAGACGAAACTTCTAGAACGTGTACATCACAAACACAGAGGCGGTGACAACGCCTAACTTGGCCGAATGCGAACGTTCCTCTTGCTGTAGACGAGTCACGGAACAAGGAATGAACACTGGGGGAAAATCGGATATTCATGTTGTTTCTGCCTTGAGGCGCGCCACAAACGCTCGTGGAAAAAGGAGCCTAAAAGGGAATCGGAGGTGAAGAGCCGGCCACCCTCCCCAACACCAATTTGTCCATCACAAATCTCACATCGATTATCTTCAGACAGAACGTGGGACCAAAGGGCGACTAATGGGTCACGATTGCGCCTCAAGTGTCTAGGAGCCAGAGGCTTGCATGAAATCACAGAGTTTTGTCCTTAACAAACCAACAGTACATTTTGCGCTGTGTCCACAGTGACGAGGCCATGGACATGGAGGACTGGAAGCGGTCCAGGAGTGAGTCCAGCACGGCGGCTGATGAGCTCGAGTCAGCATACTTGCCACACAAGGTCGGTATCAACATGCCACAGCGGCGTTCTTTACACTCGCCTCTATCCCCTGCACAGGGTGGTCTACAGGTAACAATCCATGCTTGTATTCTCGAGGTGCTCTGTTCGACGTTCGGTGGAGACACGGGCTACCCTGAGTCACTGACAGCATTGTTATATAGCGCAGAATAAAATGTTGAACCTCGGGGACATTACATCATAATATGCCATGACCGGTTACTTCCAGAGCTATTCGAATTCAGAATTTACTATTCAACCTATCATCAGAGTGTATATAATCCCAGCTATTGACACAGTCTTTATATAAAAATAAGATATTAGTATCTTAATAGCGACGAGTGAAACGTGCGGCAGTTTTCTCACCCCTGACTTCTGTAACTCGAAAGCTACACTGGGTATCCTGAGATTTCTTTTGCTTTCCTTCAATTGCTCCGGATAAATTCCTGAATAGTACATTATATTACGCCATGGCCGCCTTATTCCGCGATTTATTATTCGCTATCCTCAAATACAAGAAAGGTAAAATAGCCCCGTGCTTAACTAATTAAGCACTACGCCATGAAGGCGTGTGGGGAAGTGGATGTATAGATCCATATTTTCTTCACCTCGGCACTAACTGGAGGTGAGTGGTCAGCTTCACGCCCAGGCCGCGTTATCCCAGGGGAAAAAGCCCCCGGTGCCCACTGGATAGGAAGCTGGGTGGGCCACAAAGCCGGTCTGGACGACGTGGAGAAGAGAACATTCTTGACTCTACAGGGACTCGAACTCTGAACCCTCGGTCCTCCAGCCCGTAGCCAGTCGCTATACCGACTACGCTATTAGGGCTCCTTTCGACGCTGTGTAGGTACTATTAATGACAGAATCGTTAAATAAACTATAGATAGGTACTACAACATACGAGGCTTTCACGGAGATAAAGAGATGCATGTCCACGAGGCCGTGGGGGGGAGACTGACTGTTCCTCTGAAACACTTGTCTTCTCATATCAAGCTATGACACGGCGCCGTGAAACAAAAAGAAACCATTTAGCAGCTGATCCTCCGCCGTTTAAACTATCGATCGATTCCAAACTCATAATGACGTCAGACAGCCCAACGGAATTTTAACGCCAAGTATCAGTGAAGCTGAAAATGCGACTGCTTCAGCTCTATCTCACCCTCCGGCACACAGTGATCTCGTACAGAGGCACGTGTTCGCTCTGAGAACGTGCCTAATTACTACAGTTTACACGCCTTCTTCGAACGCAGTATATGCAAAAAAAAAAACAGAATTGGAAATTGTAAGTCTGCTCTTGGATCATCTGAGCTATTCACGGTACAGGAAATATTCGTTACTGTATTCACAAGAGCATTCGCCTATCAAGGACCAGTTAAATACATTCCACTCCATATACCTTTAAGAACAATTTTAATATTATCCTCACATCTACGTCCATGTCTTCCAAATTCTCCCTTACCTTCAAGCTTCTCAATAAGAAAATGAAATGCATTTCTGCGCTTAAACATGAATGCTGGAACTGTACCGGTTAGTCTAGCAGAAACGCTCTAAAGTAGTATTCAGAAGGTCCTCGGTTCGAATTTCGGACGGGACACCAATTATCATGGCTGTTTTAGTGATTTTCCTCAGATCTTCCAGTCCAATTCCGGGACAGCGTCTTGATTAGGTCATGATCGTTTCCTTCCAAATTTCTACCCCATTGACAGCCACCCTACTATGATGTGTTATACGGTATGGGTAGAGACAGCCGTAGCGCAAACCACGAACCTAGTCATGCGCCCTGTTTCCCTCGTCCTTCATTTTGGTCTAATACATTTTTTGTTTCTGTGAGTGGGGTGATACTGAGTCCACTTGGTACGTAGGCCACTAATTGGCTGATTGCACCAATCCCGGATGATGATGATGAATGTGGAGCAGTCGGTGGAATGAGAACCGGCAGAAGAAACCGAAGTACTAGGAGAAAATCTGCCCAGTGCCACATTGTCCACCACAAATTCTACATGACCTGACTTGGGCTTGAACCCGGGCAGCCGCGGTGGGAAGCCGGCGACTAACCGCTGAGCTATAGCACAGCCCTTAATACAATTTGGTAAAGGGTGCAAATTATAAAGCCCATAATTACGTAAGTTGCTCGAACCGTATATTTTCCACATCACCCCTTTCCTGAACACACTCTGACTGTGAAGGTCTACAGACCACACAGAACCACAGCAGTCAGTAACCCGCCAGAGCCTCAGATCTCCTCCTCAGTGCATGAGAGCAGACTGCAATAGTGCTTATGATTTGTTGCTGGTAAACAGAAGGCGAGGCCACTGACATGGGCCTGGGTTCGAGACTGGTGCGTGGCGTGGTGGCAGTCGGGGCGTGAAGACGACAGCATGGACCCGGACTACGAGGACACGCCGAGTGACATGGGGTACGCGACGCCCGTGTCGGTGGAGACGCCGCTCCAGTCGAGTGTGTCGCGATGCACCTCACTGAACGTGATACGCGACCCCTACACCTCGGTCCAGCAGCAGCAGCAGACCCCCACCCGCCAGCACCACCTGCACCACTTCGACTCTCGCAGCCTGCCGGCCTCCAGCCGGCTCGCGGCGCGGTCCGTGTCCAGCGACTCGGTGAGTCATGAGTCACTATACGGTCGCAATGGACGGCTGGCTGCCTGTCTGAACAACTGCCTGGGTGCCTGAACGGTTGACTGGATGGCTCAACAATTGACTGGGTGGCTGAACGGTTAATTGGATAGCTAAACAATTGACTGTGTCTCAACAATTGACTGGGTGGCTGAACGGTTGTTTGGATGGCTAAAAAACTGACTGTGTGTCTCAACAACTGACTGGGTGGCTGAACGGTTAATTGGATGGCTAAACAATTGACTGTGTGTCTCAACAATTGACTGGGTGGCTAAACGGTTGTTTGGATGGCTAAACGGTTGTTTGGATGGCTAAACAATTGACTGTGTGTCTCAACAATTGACTGGGTGGCTGAACGGTTGATTGGATGGCTAAACAATTGACTGTGTCTCAACAATTGACTGGGTGGCTGAACGGTTGTTTGGATGGCTAAAAAACTGACTGTGTGTCTCAACAACTGACTGGGTGGCTGAACGGTTAATTGGATGTCTAAACAATTGATTGTGTGTCTCAACAATTGACTAGATGGCTGAACGGTTGACTGGATAGCTGAAAGGTTGACTGGGTGTCTGACAGTTGACTGGATGGCTGAACGGCTGACTGCGTAGCTGAACAGTTACCTCTGTGGCTGAACAATTGACTGGGTGGTTGAACAGCTGATTTGGTGGTTGAACGGCTAACCGGATGGCTAAACAATTGACTGGATGGCTGAACGGTTGACTGGATAGCTGAAAGGTTGACTGGGTGTCTGACAGTTGACTGGATGGCTGAACGGCTGACTGCGTAGCTGAAGGGTTGACTGGATGACTGGACGGCTAACCGGACGGCTGAACACTTGACTGGGGGATGAACGGTAGGCTTGGTGCCTGAACAATTGATTGAATGGTTGAACGATTCCTGAATAGACGGATGGTGTGTTGAGTGACTGGATGAGCATGTGGTTTGCTGGATGAATGCATAACCAGTCGATATTCTGACTAAATTATGGCTGAATGACAAAATGCGTGATTGGGCTGGGTATACTGAACTGCTGATTACTGATTAATCGACTGTGTCACTGGTGAATTGAGTGAATCACTGTATGATTGTTTATCTTCTCATTGACTGATTATCTGAATGACCGATTATCTGACTGATAAACGATCGACTGTCTAACAAATGAACTGACTTCCTGCCTATCCAAGAGTGTGGAACAACATCCAGAAGATCGACATTAACATGGAATGCAAATATTGGACTCCACTCAACTGAATACATTAACCTCAGAAATTATTGCTACAAAACCTATTCTAATATTTTCCTCTCATTTTCACTACATCATCGAGATGGGCACGTACATTTCTGGGTGGACTTTAGTGACACATTAAGCAGTTTCACTAAAATGTGTCCACATGATTCAGTTTTGGTTAAAATCTAAGAATAATAATGTACATTGTATACGAAGACCCTAATTCTTTTCTTTTTTCATCTTCTTTTTAATATTTCGCTCTGTCTACTATTCAACTGATAAGAGCTCGGTTGGGTTGCCATGGGAGCGAACCCATGGCCATCCCATTCAATAATTTCACAGCAGTTCCTAATCTAAACAAAATACGACGCTACATTCTCAGAATTTAAACTTATGACGACTGTTAGATATCTACGTAGGTCGTACCGAATGTCATGAGCAGTTTCTTTTTGCATGCAACCTGGGAACAGCAGACGAAAGAGAGTACGGTGGTAGGTGGAACCAGCTGTTGTGTTAACCTTGAGTGTCTTGTGACGTCAATAGCTTGCATCACGTGACTGATATCACTCCTAACAAAATGGCCGACAACGATATGTCGTTTCGCCAGCGTGCTGTCATCGAATTTCTTGTGAAAGAGGAAATCCCTGCTGCAGAAATTCGCCAGAGACTTCAGCGTGCTTATGGAAGTGTGTGCATGGGTGCGAGCAGTGTTCGAAGATGGGTGAAACATTTTAAAGATGGGAACACCAGCATCGAAGATGAACCTCGGAGCGGTCGTCCTTGAACAGCCTCAACTGAACGCAACAAGGAAAGAGTGGATGAGATCATTCAAGATGACAGGCGTGTGACTGTGGACACAGTAGCCCGAAAACTTGGAATAGGGCACAGTGCAGTACAGGAGATGATTGAAAGCTTGGGCTATAGGAAAGTTTGTGCTTGTTGGGTCCCGCGGTCATTGACCGAAGACCACAAAGGTCAGCGAAAAGCCATCGCCTCAGAACTGCTGCAGAGATATCGACACGAAGGCGATGATTTTTTGCTCGGTATTGTGACAGGTGACGAAAGCTGGTTTCACAATTTCGAGCCTGAAACGTAACGGCAGAGTATGAAATGGCACCATTTGCATTCTCCATCAAAAAAGAAGGCAAAGACAGTGCCATCAGCTGCGAAGGTGATGGGCACAGTCTTCTGGGATGCAGAGGGGTTTATTCTGGCCGAATTCCTGGAACCTGGGCAAGCCATCAATGCTGCTCGTTATGTCCAGACGCGCTGCACAAGCTCCGTCGTGCATTGCACGATAAACGTCTGGGACGAAACATCATCATCTTGCATGACAACGCTGGCCCCCACGCCGCTCGCCTCACATTGGAAGCAATTGCAAAGATGGGGTGGGAAGTTCTTCCACACCCCTCCTATAGCCCTGATCTGGCACCCTCCGACTACCATCTTTTCGGATTTGTGAAGGATCAGCTGCGTGGACAACGTTTTGAGACAAGGGAGGCAATTCACAAAGCAGTGCGTCAGTGTCTTCGGATGGCTGGAAAGGAATTTTACAGAAAGGGAATTTTCAGACTCACAGAACGCTGGGATAAATGTGTACAAAGAAGTGGCGATTATGTGGAAAAATAAAGAAAGGTCTGTAGATTGAGGTAGTGTATTTGGTTTGTCAATAATAAAGCATGTTACTTTACAAAAAATTGTTGCTCATTACTTTCAGCACGACCGTCGTATATAACATAAAGACGAAATATCTGAACGCGCTTCAAATGTTAAGTACGTACATTTCCCATCTTGAGGAATACTATATTCTGGGATATAACACCGTAGAGTCAGTTGAAAGTCAACCGACGTTTCGGAAAGACATTCTACCTCAATTTTCAGGGTCGAAAAATAAGCCGAGCAAGATATCGGCGTGAATGCTCGCCGCCTGCCTTCACGCTGGTATCTTTCTCGGCTTCGACCTTGAAGATGGAGGCGATATATTCCTCCGAAACGTTGGTTGACTTTCAACGGGCTAGATGGCGTTATATCTCAGTACTGTTCATAAGCACCGCTATGAGAACCTCTTGCATTCTCAGTAGTGGAAGCCCCACCATACTCCTATGTCCCACGCTGTAACTTACACTCAAACTTAGTACACTTATGGCGTGCCGTACTTTCACCAGGTGTACACAATACTCATCCGACTGCCTCCGGACTCGGCCAGCTGCGATGGGAGCGGAGCGGCGGATCAGCCTTCAATCAAAATGATAGCTGATGACGGTGTGTCTCCCGGCGCTGTGTTGACGCCAATCCGAGGCGGGGCTCAACGCTTTGCCGGGCGTGTGGACAGTGCCACCAGTATGGGTATGGACTATAACCTGAGCCTTCACCCTGCGGGGGGGTTCCCCAATTCTCCCGCTATCACAAGACGGCCATCTCAGATGCCAGACATTCGCATACCGCTCAACGCTAAGATCATTCCCAAACAGTTAGCTAGTGGCTCAAAAGCACTTCTAGCTAATGCTGGACCCAAACTGCAACATCAGCAGAAAAAGAAGAAGAAGATACAGGAGAAAAAAGCTGATAAAAAAGCTGCAAAAACACTTTCAGCAATTCTCCTTGCATTCATAATCACGTGGACTCCGTATAATATCCTGGTGCTTCTCAAGCCACTGACTGCCTGCACTGGCTGTATTCCCCAAGAACTGTGGGATTTCTTTTATTACCTGTGTTACATCAACAGCACAATCAATCCGCTCTGCTATGCACTTTGCAATGCTTCCTTCCGACATACCTATGTTCGGATCCTCACTTGCAAGTGGCACAATCGGAACAGGAGTGCCATGAACAGGGCATTTTACAATTGAACAAATGAGTGTTTGTTGCTGGAAGAAACAGGATAGCACTGCTTTGAGTGCTATTGTCACTGAACACCATTCTACCAGTTGGTGGAGGGGTGAACCTTGCAGTGCAGGTCACCACAGCCCCTCATGGCGCCACTGTCAGATATCTACTGGGCGGAAGTTGCTCTTTGTTCAGCAAGGACACAGTTAATGATATGCCTCATTAGCAAAGTTCAGCTGAATTTTAAACTTCCCCTTCATTTCATGTTCTGTTTGGATGTTCAGTAGACAAAACAGTTCATTGAAATGACGGGGGTTAGATTAAACATGAATGATTCAGACGTCAGTCATTATGCAGAAATGTCTGTATATGACGTGTAAGATTGAGGTCGGTATTGTAGACTGAATGCATAACCTCTCTCAGCAGGTGTATACATAAATGAGTATACTCCTAGAATGTGTCAGAATTGATACGGATTATCACAAGTTGTGAACAGAAGTGTTTTCAATGTTGTATTGGTCTTATATAGAAAAATTCACAATTTTCCTTGTATGACATATTATAAGGGAACTGGGGTAAACTTTTAATTGTAACTTCTAAAAATATCTAAATCTTTAGTTTTCCTGGCTATACTTTTCCATTTCCATTTAATCTTAAATTGATATTTTCTTGTGCAACTAACATGGCTTTTGTTAATACCATTTTTAATTCCAGTATCTCATTACTTACTAATCACAGAAGTTAATATATAAGTGACTGGAGAGGGTCTATGTGTATTGCAACCAACAAAGACAAGGAGCAACATGTTGAGAAACATGAACAATGAATTTGTATGCATGAGACCATATATTTTTATACTAACTATTCTTGTATGAATTCAAAATAAATCTGTGCAACATGTGTTGCTTTAGCTTTTGTACACCACAGTAATCATGCTGTATCTTCACAATAAGTTAGAGCAGCATCACTTACATGGTAGCAGCAAATCCATAACTTTTGACTGATCTTGTGTTTTCAGCAATACCCATTCAATTTTAGTTACAGGAGTGGGCTGAGATTGAGTCCCCTCTTATTGGGCCTCAAGTGTATCAGCAAAACAATTGACAGAAGAAAACCAAAATTCTGGTAGAAATGCCTGCCTCAGTGGCACTCTGCCCACTAAAATTCCTACATGGTCTACCCTGAGATTGAAATCAGGCCTGTACATTGTGAAGCCAGCCACTACTACCCTGAGCTATGGCATGGCCCTCTACATATCTTACATATTCCAAAATATCCTGTATGAATTCTGAGACTTTCTTGTGAGCAACTGAAAATATCCACCATATGTATACTCCTGTCACTTTGTATTGCAGCTAAGAAGGAATGCCTTCTCTTACTAAAATGTAATGAAATCTAATGGACGAATTGCAGAATACAACAAAACTATATTGACAATGCATATATTTGTGCACATGAAATTTGTCAGTATGTAGATTAGAACGTTTTATTATCCATATTAAAGCCTCTGTGGTTCAATTACGTTATAATTACTATCATGTTTTGTTGTACTGCTGCATCAAGAAGCTGCTTGTAATTCAGTGCAGTAACTTGCACTTCTTCATATTGGAAATGAACATTTTGAAGCAGAATCTACGTCAGTCAGTATATGTGTGTTGCTAGGTAGCTCTATATTACAGTAATCAGCAGCCTGAAGATCAAGTCTGAAGCAAACATGGGAACTTGGCAACGTCCATGATAATTTATTTTGTCGCTCAAAAATAATTGTTCTGTCGCAAAGTGATGGCTACAGCTGTCATGCAGAATAATAAATAATGATTTAGCTGTGACATTTTATGTATTACAGAAATGAAAACAGAACATATAAGTAGTAAAGTGATCAAAACAGTTTGCGAGCCAGATGGCTGTGTACAATTGTCGAAGGCTTTCAATTGTATGACGGGTCATGTTCTTCAAATATAGTCATTAGTGTTAATAACTTGACATACATTTATGTCCAGTTAATCATTTTCATGTGAAAATATGGGAAATGTTAAAAAAAGATGGCCACTCTGAACATAATTTTAATACATTAAAAACATATTTTATAAGCAGAAGATTCATGTGATGAGTCTTCAAAAGTCTTCCTTCCCAAATTTGTCAATGGCCACAAGCTAGGAGACATCTCATACCATGAGGAGTAGGAGTTTAGATATGACAATGTCTGAAGTATCAATGGAGAGACAAGATTGGTCCAAATGTTTTGGACTAATATCCTTTCTTTGTTGCTATTAATTATACCAACATTATGTTGGTTGTTACCCACAATAAATGTGTAAAACTTATTTAATGCTTTGTGTAATATTCTGTTCAAAGTTCTTCCCTTTTTTTCACTTCATGGTACATGCCATCAAATCTGTTCTGACTTCATATACCAACTCCATCTTTTCCGCTGTCTTCCTCCTTTTGGTTTATACTGTAGAGTCTGTTTCATGATTCTTTTATCAGTAATTCTATTAAAGTTGCTTATCCAATTTTGTCTGTGTTCATCTGTTTTATGTTGTACTGATTACACTTTCAATTCTTTCTCAATGCCTCCGTTCTTAGTACTATTACACCCTAATGCAGCCTTCAACTAATCTTGAGTATCTCACAGCAAATGACAGTATTCTGTTTATGTTCCTTTCTTTAATTGTCCAAAATTTACTTAGTATTAGTATTAGTATTAGTACTCTGTATATGGTTTCCTTATGATATAGTACAATAATACTTCATCTTGCCTTCAAGTAAGTAACATTAACAGTCAAGTGTTTCCACTTACAAGAGAAGTGTAAGCTGTTAGCCGCAGTATTAATTCTGCAATTATTCTCTTAGCTTGTACCTGGATCCATCTTATCAAACCAATTGTGCAAGCACTATTATGACACAACTGCCTGTTTTGCATCCTTTCGAATTCATTATTTTTTGTTTGTCCTACCTTTTAGCATTGCACAATGTGAGTTCTGCTATTTTCTGTTCAATGCCATTTCATTAAAGATTTACCAGCTATAATAGAAACTATGATACTATTTTGCTTGAGTATGTCCATGATAGAAGGTTTCCTCTGAGTATCTGACAGTTATTCAGCCAATCAAGAAGTGTCTTCCTTCTACTGGACTCAAAAGTTCACCACAGTGTTGAAGAAATGGACTCCATCAATCCAGTTCTCTATGCATTTCCCTAACATCCATCTATGCCTGAGCTTTCCAAGTGATCCCTTTTCTTTAAGATTTCCGACTAAAATTACATAATAACTTTCATAACAGTTAATGGCAGGAATCTTTTCACTGGCATTGTGATACATGAAAGAGAAAGGTCAGTACTAAGTGTATATTTTATTCATAACATTTAAAGAATTAAAAAGTAAGGTCACACAAACAACTGAAGAAAAGGGAATCCCTCAGTAGAAGGGAGAGTTTTCACAGTTCCTGCACAATTTTTAAGGTTAAGACTGCCAAAATGGTCAGATTCTTGTTGTAATCTCCTGGGTTTTGACACACGTACTCCAACAGTTGTATCCATCTTAAATAAAGACATATATTCCTCTGAAAGGTTGCTAACCTTCTACCAAACTACAGCGTGTCATAACCTAGAAGATCACAATATGGAACTTTGCCTACATGAAACCCTGAGATCTTTTGTATAGCCACACTGTTTAACATTTCCTTATTTTCACATGTTTATATTTTGTCTAGTGTAACACTGTATGTGTCTTATCATAAGTTAGGTGTTCCTCAACGCATGTTACGTCAATGTGCGACTGAAAGTGTGGAGTGTGTGGGAAAAAAGAAACACTGAGTTGCTGTGAAGTTGCAGTTAGCTTACATAGATTCTTACCAGATTCTGTGTGACCCCCTTACTCCTAACATCCTCTCTCTTGGTTGTTACTCATCCACATAAATGAAAGTGAGTTTGACCTGAGCCAGTGATATGTGCTTTAATGGGATACATAAAAAAATTATCTTTAAAATTCATAATGGTATGTTTCTTTAATGCTCAGTACTCCATATTGACAACTATACACTGCTAACCATCTTGCTTACTTCTAGCACAAAGCATAATGAAGTGGCATATAAATTTATTATTGTTACAGGAACACATATGTTTAATGAAGTTTAGTTTATTATGTCATCTATCAATTCAAAGCATTTAACAGAAATAAAAGTAATCACATAAATATGTCGTACTATCAACTAAGAATATATTCTTTTCATTCTTTAAATTTAAATTTTACTTCAACTCAAAGGGAGGGACAATATGTTGAATTTAAAATTATATAAATCAGACTGTGGAAGAATTTATACAATCTGAGCTCATATGAAAAGCAAAGAAAATGTATATTGAGTCCTTTGCTACATCAACTGAATTCCAGCATAACTTTACTTGGGTACTTAAGTCTTGAGTATTCCACTTTGGCATATGTTAACTCAGATGGTGAGGAAATGTGTGCAGTGAGTGTGTTTGCCACCAAAGCATTGTCTGTATTTGCATATAACACATGAAGCTGGGGGTAACATCCCAATGCATCATACCTCTAGTAACTCATTATTATCAGTTAACTCTGAAGCACTTCAATTTGCTGAGAATATAACTAAGGTCTCAACACTACAACCTAAAAACTATTTATTTATGCAGAAGCAAAGTTAGAAACCCTACAAGAGCAAGAAGGTGTGCTTACAGCATCTTACATATGTTCTTTACCCAGAATTCAAATTTCAGATTCATGTCTCAGACAGGCTTTTCTGTAATGGAGTTCCTCAATATAATATTTAATTGAACACCATTCACTGACAACCACTACAGCTTCTATGTAAGAGATGAGTGAGGCAGACATAACCTCCAAACATTCTTTCTGGTGTTTAGCTTGGTATGGATAGCATATAAAATTCAGCATCTTATTTTGAAACTGTTTCATTTTATACCTAACAACAGCTGACACACATGTCCTAGGTGATGCATAATGTGATATCTTATCTTAAGAATGAACCTGCACAAAGAAAGAATTTATCCTTCAGGTTACAGCATTCTGCAAGTGAACTGCTAACTCTGACTTTGTGTCTACAAGAGAGTCAGAATTTCCCATGTAACATTTAATAAAAATTCATTTAGGATCTTGGAATTCAGTGATGCAATGAACCGACATAGTATGCATGTAAAACTTCTTCTTTTACCTCACATTTGCAAGTATGAAAATGTATTTACTCTTGGGACACAAAAAGGAATTATTGCTCTTCTACCTACCAACAAGGAATAGAATTCAAAATCTTAATATAGATGCCTAAAACAAGGCTCCTTATGCCCCATATGTTACTTCAACCCAGCAACTCTTTAAGAGGAATATTAATTAACAAAACTCTACTTTTGTAAAAGTTAGCTACTGGTTCAGCAGACGAAAACAATTTGGGAAGTATCAACATACACTTTCGGCTAGCTTTATATATCTAAAAAATGTGATTGCTGAATTCTATCAGAAACATATCTCTACATCACGGTTCTCGTGAAGTAGCAAATTAGAAATGATTTCTTCTGCTGAGCAATATGGATTACTGAGTATCATACAGAAATTGCTGGATGAGCATAAAATATATACAGTCTTAACATCAACTTCTACCATTCCAGTACATGTCATACAAATCAATGAATTTATTCACTATAAAGCTCAAAAGCATTTACATTTTCACTATGGAGAGGGTGATATTGAAAGTTTGATAAAATGACAATTTATTTTTGTTAAATTTGAATACTGAATTTCTACTAGACTGAAGAAAAAATATGCCAGGCAAATGATGATAGCAAACTTAAAATGGGATCTTTCAAAAGAGAAATTTGGAATTGCAGAGAATATTGTATAAGGAAAAGTCAAATATAAGTATGATATTTGTTTCAGTAGGGAAATGTAATGGTTTACTTCATTATTATTTACATATGAAATAATGATTTATTTATTGTTTAAAGCTATCACTTCATTATACAAGTGTCTGACTTAAGTTAAATTACATATCACCCTTTGCAAGGACATAATGCAACATTATAACATTACTTTCATTCTCACAGAGTGCAGCACAAAATCATTGATAGCACCACAGACTCTTGGTGATGTTTAAACCTGTGTTTTCACAGTTATGTGTTGGTTGTAAATAATAACAATTAATACATTTACAGCAGTTATTTATTATTTGTGGTAGATAAGTTATTTGCTGAATCCTTAAATGTGCTCAGGATATTAAAATGCTTGTTATTTGCTATTTCACACAATTTATATTGTCATTTCATTTACAAAAACGGTGTACTAAGAAACGTGTGTTCAGAGAGAAACCCAACACATGACATTAGTCAAGAAATATTCATTAATTTAACAATATTATTTTAATTCAGAGATGTGTTGGGCTTCTTAAATGTGTATGTTCATACAACTATTTTTATCATCTAAATACTTTAATATTAATATGTAATAATACTGTATTCAACATAAGGAAGATAATCATGAGTTTCAAAGTTTATCATCAAGACTTTGTGTTGGTAATATTCATCAAAGATCCCAGCAATATAAATGATTGCAAAACATAATATACGCTTTGTGTGTCGTGAAAGAAACAATAATTTCCTAACAGATTGGTCTGAAAATAATCCATATTTTAATATGGACCCAAATTTCAAATTCTATATAACGATGCAGTGCTTAATTTATAACTTCACACTACCTTAACACTCTAAAACTGATGTGGCTGTTTCTTCTCTTACTGTGCCAGAGGACATACTGCTGAAACATGAAATTCAGAGAACTGCATGTTACAGTTCATTTCTTGACTTACTGGTCTTATTGGTGGGCCAGTTACTGACTGTGGGATGTAGTTTCCTTTCCTTGTCAAAAGAATCCCAGATGGCAGATCATTGACCAAATACATTGAAAACTCAGAGAATCCTGAAATATTTTAAAGTAAATTCTTGTATCAAATTCCATTTACACTCAACTCCAAATTATCCGGGATAATGGTGGGGATGGAAATCATGATTAATCGAAAACCCGGTTAAGACAAATTTTATTAAAAGTAGTACTGTAATACTGTACCTTCATAATACTATAGGCCCACCTGTATTTAAATTTATTCAACCTCATTTTTATGTCATCTCATGGCCTATTTAATACTTTTTTACGTTACACTGAAGTATGAATTAGTTATTTCAATGACACTCTTCAACAACATCCAACACTTTTTACGAATATTCACACTTAACACTTAAAAAAATGTAATATTGTCATTTGCTTTTTCGCGGCATTTTCCTTTTTACGGATATCATGATATTAGCTTGTCACTTAATAAACTGTTCTCTTCACTCTCAAGATAGTCTAGTAAGGATTCCAAATGATTAAGAGCAGCACCATGTGATATTTTCTTACTAGCAGCACTGTCCACCTCTTTCTCATTCTCACTTTCTTCCCGCTCTTCTGACTGCACCCCCACTGAACTAACGGTTTCGTCACTGCTTAACATTTTGAAGCCCGGCTCACACAAGTTTCTGTTAAATACTTAACACAACATGCTTCCTTTTACACCCTGACATTTTGCTAACGCACTTAAAGATCGATACAAAGAGACTAATTGGGGCGGTGTATCTGTCCTTTAAACTTTCCACAAATCCTTGCATTCTTTCACCCCTACCCTAGAACATTGTGTTAGCATAACGGGACCAAAAAATGCTGAGCTTGGTTCACACTAGTGCGAAAATAGTGTTACAACTCACCATGTGAAACAAAAGTGAATGAATATTAAACAACATATAAGCCTCAAAAAAGTCCTGGTAGCCCCAGTTAAGCCGTAAACCGGTTACTCCGCCTCCAGATAATCGAGAGTTGAGTGTATATGTAACATAACATTCCTGTTCAAGATGTTACATGATTAGCAACTAGTATAAAAATAACAATTTCAATTTCACCATAATCTCATTGTTAACATTTGTGTTCGCCTGTACAAGCTAAGATGAGTAAAGGAGAAGCATGAAGCATGGGGCAACCTCGACAATCCAAAACAATTGAAGCACTCTTGTGATCAGGTTATTGAATCATTCAGATTACTTCTATTCAAATATACATTCTAGTTCTTTAATAAAATTATTTATTCAGAAGATTTACAAGTACATTTTATATGTAAACAATGATTAAAAATTGCAGAAGGTTGATCACGTGGTAGGCTGACAGCAAGTGGTAATGTGGTTACATTTTTCACCATCTAGAAAGGCAGGCCCATTAACACATAATATTGTAACGTGTTTGGAATCCAGAAGACACTTCCATAGTAACGCTAGAACAGACCGTTGCATAGGTAGTGACAATAGCGGTATTGTAGCCCCAACAGTTGGCCGTTGCGTAGGTATTGCAGTATCAACAAAGCGTATCCCTGGTCTGCGGCTTGGCCCAGTACACTGCCTGCCTGGTATTGACCTTTGGCAGCCAACCCATTGGCCTGTTTCATCTGATCGGCCCATACAGCAGTCATATTGTTTGTGCCATCAGCATTCACATTGCGTTCTTTTGAAGAAGCCAACTGTTCGTTCCCGTTCCAGCGATTCAACAACATTACCACATCCTGTTGTCATTCTGATTGCACATTCTCAATAGCGGCATTACGCACCACAAATGCATTGCCTTGTTCAAACACTTGAGCCAAAGCCTTGCTGAATCTTGTTGGAAAGTCCTCAGAAGGAGCTGGTGGTGAAAGAGCAGTATCAGCAACACAGGATTTGTTAGTTTGTTTCACCATGTGGCCACTTTGTTTTGCAGGTGGCAAAATTGTCTTGGCATTGGTGTTAGATGTCACAGATTCCTGCAGCTGTGTCACTGTGCTGTTGACCATCCTGTTCCCCTTCCCAGGGGAATAGACTTTACTGGGAATACTTTTCTGCCTGTCACTACTACCTGCAAGATATTTGGCAGGAACAGGCATTGAGAAAGCAGCCTTAGGCATCAGAGCTTGCCCCTTGTTACGTTCAAACATTGCAAGCTTCCCTGTTACAGAGAGCTCAGTGGGATCTTTGCTATTCTTCTTTGTTGGCCTTGACTCAAAGAGAGCAGCCTTGTGAAGTACTGGGCCAATTTTTGGAGATGAATCTCCTTTGCGACGACTACCAACACGAAGTCCCATCTGTGGTACATTTTGTACACATGGACTTCCAGTTGATCTGGGCAGGACATTTCTTTTCCCTGCAGAACTGGTTAACTTGTTGCTTGAGCTGCTATGAAGGATATGCATTCCCATCACTGGAGTTTGTGAACCAGCATGTGAAGAAACAGCAGTAGGATGGCTAACTTCGTCCACCCAGCATCTGATAGTGTCAATTTTTACTGCAAGGACATAAAATAATTCAATTAAATTGGCAATTTTTGGAAGTGATGATTTTGTTTCTGGTGGTCATGTAAGTCTGCTTGGATCACTGGAAGAGCAGATTAATGTGGGTTTTGGATTACCAAGGTTCTACCCTGCTTACCTGATGAATTATTATTTCAGTAGCAACTATCTGCTACATTAAAATTATTTCGGTTTTATCCATTATTCCTGTAGAAATATCAGTAAAAATTCTTGACTTCTTTTTGAGAACTGGATGTCAAATCACACTGCTTGACTTCCACCTACATATCATACAGCCAGATCTTGTGAACTGCTGGATAAGAGCGAGAATTAACAAAATGTCAAGTTTTCCAAAGTATACTAATTTGTGTTCTAATTTTTAGCCTGTCAACCATCCAGAAAGTTGTTATATGGACAGATGGACAGACTGTCTCTCAGTAATAATAATTTAGAATCCTGGTCAGTAATGTTCAAAGTCCATGGCATACAAGCAGGAGTTCATCCGATTAGTTTAACAAACAAATTAAGCACTGCTGAGTAAGAGGGATGAAATATTGTATCACTTGTTGACTGAGCAAAGACGATTTTATTTAGAATTAACTTTAAAGTAATTAAAGACATTAACAATCTTAAGTTAATTTTCATCTCAACAGATGTGCCAAACATAGGCTATATAGAATTGTCATTTGTGTATATCTTAGTAAAGCTATTCAATTTTTTTTTTTGTTATTTAGCTTTTTAAAAATGTTAACTAAATCATGTGATATTATTAAGAGTATGATGGATTCAGATGTCTGCACTTCCAAACTGGAATTTTTAAACATAATAATTATTTTACAAAATGTTAACGGTTTTTTACTGACAATTACTTATTCTGAAAGTTTCACAACAAATTAATGCTCAATAAAAAATCCTACAATTTATTTGAAGCACAGGCTTGCTGAGGGAATAATCAAAAGGGGAAGCACAATAGATCACTGTAGGTGGTGGTGCAAGGGCCGAGAGGCCCACCCCTTGTACAGTCATTCATTCATTCTTTCATTCAGTGCTCCAAAATCTTCTCTGGCTATCAGCAGCATCAAAGATGACTCAAAAACCAATGATTCAGAGGTATGCTCACTCTCCACCATCAGGATAAAAGTGTGAGTGACCATAAACATGTACATACATACCTCCATGACGTTACAGTCAATCCCCACATTAACCCTGAAAATGAAATCTAGGTAAGTCTCCAAAACATTTCATAACTCAAACTCTGATGAGGCTGATGACCTGAGGAGATTTTAATGCATTTGAGTATGATGTTTATCAGTGCCCACTTCTGTTGTGGCATAATCTACAGAGTGAGATTATTCTTATGCTCCAGGAAAAATAGACTGTCTTGTGATCTCATATTGCTGAATAAATGCAGAACTGAGACTCTAAATTATTTCAAATTCAGTCCATTAGCAATGTTCCTGTTTTACACAAGTCTGACTGTACTGTTTTCAGAAACACAAATAAGGCATAAAGAACAGCTCAATATTTATATTACTGCTTTCTGGCATCTAACAGCATGTAGTCTTATACTGCATAGAGATTCCAGGGTTTTGGAAGAGCCATCCTGAAGGTAGAATAAGTGAGCCGATTGGAGAAAACAATGCACATAATATAGAAATGTGATTCTTTGGATGGGGCTCTGAATGATTCAATGGGAGAATGTAGCCCTGAAAGGAAAGGCATACAAATTAATTAAGGAGAATTACATATGAAGTGAGAGTGCTTTATCTAGCTATCTTACTTTTTCTTAAACTGATTAGGGAGGCCATATTTTCCTCTGAATTGCTGGTACTGCATGACATCCCAGAAAACTGTAATCTAGATATCTACTGCTGTAAGAACCTAAAATCTCATATTAGCTCAATATTTGACTTTGAAATCAAAAGAAATAAAACATTAGAAATCGCAATTTGGAAGTTCAGAAATCAATATGTCGGTCATTCCTTCTTAATACCGAAGATCATACAAATTTAGTATGACTAAAATGTGGCATAAACAATACTTACAGTAAGTCCCAAACTTAGACAGGTAATTCATTCTTAAGGTTTCTGTGTGAGCTTAAAATCATGCAAGTCCAACAGTACTTAATTATGGGAAATTATAAAAATTGTATGAAAAGCAATTTCAGCATAAACACAAAATACAGGATACATATATGTACAATAAAAAGATATCATATTATAATATGTAAACCCTATCTGGTTCTAATGACCATAGTAGATTAAGTACCTGTTTAAATAACATAAAAAATATGTTCATTTATCTATGGATTCGTGAAAATTGAACCAGAATAAGCTGGGGACTTACTGTATTTATAATTCAAAACACTGAGCCCAAGAGCTCAAATGCCTAATTTTCTCTCTGAGGCTGGTTTCTTTTGTTGTTACATACTGCCCAAAATAACATATAAAAACAAAGTATTAAATATTGTGCGAAAGTCTAATATTTCTCCATTTACATCTTATTACATATTTTATTGTTTAAATTTCTGAAGTTTTTCATACGATATAATGAAAACAAAACTTTTTCTCATTTTAAGATTGTTGTTTGTATTTTGAGAAATTACTTTTGGACCAAACTGTTTTCTTGGCAGAAGCTTACATAATTATCCTTGAGGTGTGACTATCAAACATTGTACTACTGCTTTTCTTCCATGTTATTTATTTAGAAGCAATAACAAGAAGCTAACTAAAAAGGAATCATTAATTACCTTGAACCCTACATTTTGCAGTTTCCAGTTTTTAATGATGGATGTTTCAACCAATTAGAAGGTTATGACAATCTTCCATTCAATGTTCTCACCTATAGTAAACCATTTTACTAGAACTCTCAAGAAATAAAACCATCTATGCCTCTGAGCTAAAAACTAATCGAAAACAAAGCAAATAGACGCTGCAAATTTTGTATAAGAGTACTATGAGAAGTTACCTCAGCAAGAGATTCAATTTCTCACAGGGTTCATTAATTTCTGTACTGCAAATAACATGACACTGCTCCACACCATTGCAAAGAACAGCATAGGATCCGAGCCTGAAAAAGGGATCGCTTATTTCATAGCAGATCAATGACCTGAAAAATCTGGAAGATCATAGGATATTTCTGAACACGGGAAGGCCATTTCATTCTTAGCAGATTTGCAATTTTCTCTTTGCCATCATACCCAGAACACTTACTGGGTATCCAGTCCTCAATCCACTGCGAGCTTGCTAAGCACAAAGCTTGCTTTAATCTAGTACAGCAGTTATGAACAGAACTGGGGGTACATGAAGCCCCACAAGGGAGCATGAGAGATATATTTCATATATTGTCAAACACAGGTCTTTTGTACAAGTTTCTCTGTGCATGGAATAAATAATATTGTATTTGAACATCCTGTTGCATTAGTTGAGCACCTGATATGTGTATGTATAAAACAGTCTTGTGAATGCAACAGTTTCATAGCTTGTCAGTTAGAACACCACTTAGTCCATGATTTGGCTACATGGGGCCATCATGAGGTATATATGGTGAATACAAGTTGGATTCTTGTTAAAATAATTTGAAAAATTTAAAAAGTATGTGTTGTATGTTCTTTTTCTTTCTTCTAGTGTTCAGTCTTTGGTAATGTGGCTGCGATGTGTATGTTTTCAGGATGTTTTTGGCCTCATATACTGTGGTGGCTTGTGTGCATGGACTATGCCATGTTTATATAAAACATGGACTGAGTCGTGTTCTAACCAACAAGCTACGAGAGTGTTGCATTCACAAGATTATATTATACACATGTATCTGGAGAATAAATAATATTTTGTTTAAACGAAATGTCTTTGTATCTTGTCATGTTTATAATACCTTACACAATAACATGTAGTTTGAGATAAAAATTATGTCACCATTGAAAAGGTGTGCATCAATTGAAAAATAATCACAAATGCTGATCTCATACTGAAGTCATGAATGTGTGAAGCTTAAACTGTACATTCATTTCTTAATTCCTTCATAACATGGCACTGAAACAAAGGCTTGTAAAAGGAAGGAAGGAACAATGGAGATTTCATACACTAAATCTGCCACTGTTCTATCTTTGGAAATGTTCTGTGCTCTTTAATTAATAACCTTACCCTGGTAACCTTTCTAAAAGAATCATTTTGGAACTGTTCCTTACTCTGGATAAACCATGTCTAATGTATAAGTCATATGTTTAGTCACATGTAAGAAACTGACTAAAGTGAGGTTAATTTTTATTTCACATTGGAGACATAATTTTAAGTCATAAAAGAGGATTATGAAATGAGAAATTTGTGGTTTCATGTTCAGAAATGAAAGTCATAACTGAAGGGCCTGATTATTCCTTTGGGTTCTAATTCAGAAAATTTTCAAAATTCAATATTACATTTACCTTTCAGAAGTTTCTATTTTATGGAATGGTAACAATTTTCATGACCTACTGATGGGTCAAGAAACTGGAACCTGAATTCTGGATGTACATTTGTTTCTCTTTTTATCTCCTTCATAAAATCACAATGTTCAGAATTAGCAACTCTGAATTATCTTTAGCATAGAAGGCCTACAGTCATTAAAATAAATGAATCAGTATTTATAAATTATGTATTTCATGAGGACAGAAACAATACAAAACCCAAATGAATCACACAAATTCATAAAAATATCATGGCCATTATATACAAAATTATACTTTCATCGATGTACAGGTTCAGTTTCGTGCACAATAACCATAAACGTTAATTATGGTGCTTTAGTTTTCCCTGAGTTGTGTTGATTATTTTTGTATGTTGTACTAGGTTGGCAAAGCTACCAAAAAAACGCAAGTACATTCATGTACTGAGTTGCAAAGTACTTTAATTCAGTTCTGAAACTTTTTAAGATATTAAAAGTTTGAAGTTTTTTGTCTCAAAAATAAAACACATTTATTTTAAAATGAACTCAAGACCCACTCAAGATTCCATACTTTCTTTTCAACATAAAAGAAAATCTAAAAATTTCCATATTTTTAAAGTATGCAAAAGTGACTTATACACCCCATTTTACAGTTTACTGCCACATTGAAACTGTTCTTTACTCTATCAGTAACATCTAAGATTATTAATATCTAAAATGTATACTCTTTGCCAAATATTACTAGTCTGATCAAATCAGACAAAGCATTTAAAACAAATGGAGCAGATAAGAAATGCAAGAAAAAATTTGGTCAGAAAATTTGAAAGGAAAAGATTTTTTGGAAGAACCAGGTGTAGGTGAGAGGTCAATATTGTGGTGGATCTTAAAAAAATTGGGCATGAATGGAGAACTGGATCTATCTGACCCAGGATAGGATCAAATGATGATTTCTTGTGAATGTGGTAATAAAATATTAGTTCCATAAATAGCATTGAATTTACTGTATAGCTGAGAAAATGTAAGCTTCTGAAAAAAAGGGCTCTGATCCATGGAGTTAGTACATTAATATCTAAATTCCATAATTTCAGGAATAGTTGCAAAATTAATTTTCTTGCTTAGAATATAACTAAAAATGTGTTGATTACGAGACATACAGAAACATCATTTACAGGATTTTAGTAAGCTTTTATTGGCTGTTGCACTTATTCTCCCACCCAACATATAAACCAGAATCTCTAATTAATATACAGAATTCCAAGATGTTAGTTATATTATGAATGCTACCTAGCACATTCCAAGAAAATAAAGTCTGCTGTGATGCTGTCTCATGAACTAAGAAGCTATAGAATTTCTCATAATCCTTTCATTCAGATGGAAATACCTGTTCCTACTCAGTGGTCAGTACATTTACTGTCATCCAGTGCTTGTGATGGGCAGACATAGATTTGTACACCTGTGAAGTGAATGCTACCAGAATGACTGTCAAAATATGGCAGCATATGGCACACATGGCGAAAGGAATATGAGGGGCACATGTTGAAGCATCCTGACATGTCAGTAATACTTAAATTCAAGTCACTGTACTCTCTTTTATGTTCACTGGGTTGTTTTTAATGCATGTTCAAATTAGGGACATAATTTCAGATCACACTATGCAAAATGAATCAGCAGACATGTTAATAAACTGTTGATTTTAACTAGTGCTTCAGCCCGTTACAACAGTAAATGTCTGGTAAATTTGTCAAAAGTCACCCATCTGCCAGTGCACTAATGTTAAAATCAAATGTTAGTGCTGGCAAAAGTGTTTTTAGAAAGAGAGTGTTGGTCATAATAATTAAATCTCCAGTGAATGTCATACTGACTCCTTTACTGCATCAACTGTCTTTATTTGCCTCTTGATTGCCACAGTCTGTTACTTCCATCTACAGGAGTAAATAGAACTGGTGCAGAGTAACTTAAATTCTACGATATAAATGCAGAAGTTGACGTCCCTTCAAGCTGAAGGTAAATTCTCATTTTTCTTTAAGAACACATGATCTGACAGAGTTCTAGTAAAAGTGGTGTAGCTTCTGTAAGGAATGTTGTGTGCATGAGCTGGCCGAGAGTTGACTGTAACCACTCAATGTGCAGTAGAGTTCCTGTGTACCATTTTACAAGTTCCTGAGTTTAGATGGAAACTTGGGACACATTTATATATATATATGAAATAGTTCAATAACGTATTGAGGGAAAAATAACGTGAAACGACGCACATTAGGTACAACATTTTTGTAAAATTTATTCCATATATTATATATATTTAAAAAAGAATAATAAGTTTTAAAAATGATGTTAATAAAATGTTGTTTTTTAAAAGAGACTGACTCTAAAAATAAATCTTCTTATAACATTTACATACTACATACATAAAACTTTATGGAAATTGCACCGAGCTTGCCTATAACCTCCTTTATCGTAACTTATTTTGAAAATTTAAAAAGAAAGTTAAAAAATCAATTTGTGTTATTTCACTAATTTTATTCTGCCCTAATCCAACTCCCACCCACAGCTTGCACAATTAATACAGAACTTCAGAAATGGACATAATTACTTTATTAACACAAAATGTAAAATGAACAACATAAACACAGACCATGAAGAACCTCCAACAAAGACAGGTTTATTCCAATATCAGCTCCAAAAGTATTTACGTATGTACCACAAGAACCTCGGACACAGTTAAACATTCCAGGACATTCAATTGAGTCGAAAACGTCCTGGCACAGGTCAAGGGAGGGGGGGGGGGTCCTTGTCTGCAGCGCTCATTCCTCTTGAACAGAACTTCATTACTGGTTGCTGTAGGAAGGGACGCAGACTTACCATAAGTTACAAGAACTGCTAGAGGTGACATTACATTCTTCTGCCTTACAAACATGCCTCGTACCACATAAACAATTTAAGTTGGTTGCTTCCGTATGTCACAGACTGAACCCGTGATGCGCCACGTTTTGGCAGCCGCAACTCTGTGTCAAGTCGTTCCTGTGGTTTTTAACGAATTAACTTCTGAATTCACTACCCGTGTGCTTCCCTTCTTACCGATCTCCGGACTGTGAAAACTTGCTGTTAAACCATACACCTCATCGAAAGACTACTGAAATCAGGTCTGGCGATAAAGAGATCTGCGCTAGCATAATTTCCAAACGCCAAGACATTGATAAAGAAACGTTTCTTTACTCATCTTATCGGTAAGTAAGTGAAGTTGTCCCTGTGCTTAACTAATTAAACACTACGCCATGAACGCGTATGGGTGAGTGGATGTATAGATCCATATTTTCTTGACCTCGGCACTAACTGGAGGTGAGTGGTCGGCTCCACGCCCCGGCCGCTTTACCCCCGGGGAAAGAGTCCCCTGTACAAATTGGATAGGTTGGGTGAATCCCAGAACCAGTCTGGACAACGTGAAGAAGAGAAAATTCTTGACCCCACCGGGACTGGGACTCCGACCCCTCGGCCGTCCAGCCTGTAGCCAGTCGCTATACCGACTGCGCTATCCCGGCTCCTCGTCTTATCGGCGGCATACAAAATATGCTGCTCATGCTGTCCACAGCGATGTTGTACCTTCCCTTCCTCAGCTTCTTGATCATGTAAATACGCAACATTTACTAACAAGGAGTGCATGTCATTCAACAAGCACAGTTTCACAGTGTGAAAGTAATGGTGTGCTGTGGTGGAACTGCGCGCAGAATTATTCGCTTCGGAAATGCGGAATGGGTAACAAGACTTGTTTACGTGGTGCGAAGCGTGCTTGCATGCAGAAGGGGCATTATTTCAGCAGTTCCTATAATATACAATTACGTTTGTGTTGCCTTCTTACTGTTGTCAGTAATTAAGGTCTATTTCCGTATAGAGAGTCTTAGCGATATCCAGTGAGCTGTTCCCTCTACGGCTGCTCAGTAAACTACACCAACTGGAAACCGTGCAATAGCTGGGGCGGTCAGTCCTAGTAGCTGGCTTGCCACTACGACGGCCAGGATTCGATTCCAGCTCAAGTTATGTGGGATTTATGTTGAATAAAGTGGCATCGGACTAGCTGTTCCCCGAGTGCTTTGCTTTCTCCTGCCAATTCTCACTCCAGTGACCAACACTGGTACAGCGGGCCCAGTAGTGGCTGGAGTACCGACTAGAACGAGTCTCACCCCACCTCATGAATACGCAAAGGGAGTTACCGCCGCGCTGCCGCAACAATCACGTTTCTGTATCGTCTGAACGGTTTGTGTTTTCAGGCCTGGAGGTGTGTATCTTCTGGGAGGGAATGAAGTGTTGTCTGGTAGATAATTGCTCATGGGTGTCACCGACATATTTTCTTATGGGGGGGGGCCGAAAATTCTTTTAAAAACTTACGTTAAAACCGTTTAAGAATATTTATGACCCCCGTTAATTATTCAGGGTACACTATTTTAAGAGTTATTTTAACTTTAGATGTTAATGAGTGAAATATTTACTTTTTTTTTCAAATTTGAACGTATTCGAAAAGTCCAGGTGTGATGCAGATGCCTTCCCCCCCCCCTCACCTGCCACCGCCCGTGATGATCATCGTTGCTTTAGAGTTAATAAACAGTTGTCTGTTTCCTTGATCATGCGGTACAGTGAAATAATGTGATTGGTTATAGCATATTGTAATATAAATTGTCCAGATCAGTGAGAACAAAACTCTAGCCAAGAACTGTCTTAAAACAACACATTTGGGAAGAACGTAAGAGAAGAATGAACGCCACGCATACTATGAGACTATACATCTCAGCATCACTCCAAATATTACCGGCATTGTAGGTAAGAAAAAGAAATACAGTTCTGTCATTAATGTAGGGATAGAACTCACAAAATCCTTTCAATATGAATTTATTCTGCCTTTCTTTCTTGTGGCCTGCCAAAAATATCTAGTGTGTGTAATTCGACGTATGCTCTTTGAGGTTATGACAAATTCTTTTAAGTTAAGAGGACGTAACAGGCAAGAATCCTATAGACACACTTATCAAGATGATATTTCAGGGTTATATTTTGAAAATGGAGTCTAATTTTATACTTCCATATGAATTTGTTTCCAGCATACTGCAGAATGTTACAGGAGCAAACTCTCATGCGGATGGACGCGCAGTAAACCTCCAACACTAGCCACGTGACTTGGTTCGCATAAACATCAACATAAAAGACCTAGACTTCTTTCAGAAAGTAATGGCGGGATTTGGTGATAAATTAGGGCCCTCTGAGTTCTGTAAAGGGAGAACCGTGGGGAAACACGGTAGGTTAGTTGATTTACGCACTATGCTACAAGCCGGAAAGTGGCGGGTTGGATTCCCACTGAAGTCATTGGATTTTTCAGTTGACTTAATTCTTCCACCTGCACTATGGCCCTGGGGTCAACTCAGCCTCTAACAGAAATGATACCACGAAACATTTTCGGTGTAAAGAGCGGCCGGCGAGCAAGGCTGTCAACTTCACCGCCATCTATGAGCCGATTTTGTAGAAAATGTGGCAGCCTCGACGTCTCACAACCTTATGGGCCTATAGCTTTACCTCTTTAGAGAGTGAAGCTGACCTCTCATATCTATCTACTGTCGAGGTTTAGAACACCTCATGGTGTTTATGAGGAACTAGGGACGGTCATGCACGAGGAATATGGTTAGCAAGAGATGACTAAAACTAATACTTCAACAAGATTAACCTGTCTGGCCAAAGAACGATGCATTTCCATTACTAATCCCAGTTTGCCAGATATCTGGTGTGAAACAATGATTTCAGAGTGTACGACTGCTTTTCCACCGGTATATGACGTCACAGTAATCTTTGTTTCAGCACTTTTGGGGCACCTTCTGTCAAATTTTCAGTCTGTACATTGGTAAAAATAAAAATCTGACAAGTTCTAATGCACTACCTGATATGATGTAATTAAAATAAAATCACAATCCCACATCCTGTTTCATACAATTCGGAACCACCCGTTAGTTTGATCCTGTCCATCCTTCTGTAGACAGGATATGAACGGGACATGAAACATTACGAACAACACAAAACAAGCCCAATTAGAAAAAGAATCAAAGCAAATTCAACTGACTAACAAAATTAACAAAGAAATCTTACCTTAGCAGTTGGTATTCTAATCGACTCTTCTCTAACACAAATATCCATTTAAATGCACAATTATTTATTTCAATATACGCTGTAGGTTTCAAAATCCTCAGTCATGGAAGAAGAAAACCTGACTTTACTGAAGTTGTCCATGTTAAAATGATAACCCAGTTAATCTGAGGGTAATTGTAAGATGTTCGGCTCAAGAAATTAAAGAAAAGAACATAACAAAGTCGAAACTGCCATTTTCAGTTCAGTACTGAATACTCGTGGCAAGATCGAGTAAAATCGACGTCTTCTTCCGCTGAAAATGCATATCGTGCAGCAACGAAGCTCCTTTCAATGAGCAAATTAAATTAGAACATACGGTCGCAGCAAAATCAGGTTGTCTCGACTTACGGAAGGAAGTCTCCATCGTAAAGAGAACTCCACGAGTATTGTCACACAGCCTAGCGGCCACTGCCTGAACTAACCAGCGCTAATAAATTCAGTTTAAATGTAATGCATTAATTTCTTCGCATATAGCTTAATTGTCATGTCAGTTAATTTTTTTATTCATGTAAAATCCTAACTCAGGAGGCTAACGGCGATTTTCATTGACGCATAAAATGCAAATGTCACAGGTCTGCTTGTTTCTCGACAGGCCTACGTGACGATGCACAAAGCTCAGATGATGCGTTTCTTCATGATGACAGTCGAAGTCTTCTCTGATGCTGAAGCTGGGGCACAGTTTATTGACTCACCTTATGCTTTCCTCATTGTAACAATTTATAAAACAAATATAAAACGTCACTTCATAAATATAAATATATACTTTTCATGTTCATGTAGATTCACTTACTTATCTTTCAACATTGAAGTGAAAGACAGATCAAAGCAAAATTAAGTTTGGCTTTATTGAGTCTCTGTCCCTCCAATGCGAGTTATCATAGGGAGAGACTGTCAAAGCTCTTTTTATCTCTTTCCCTTCTCGCATTGATCTTATTGTCGTGCCGACCGAACCCTGTCAAGTTACAGCGTGTGGTATAAAAAAACACACACATAAATACTTATAACTAAACCCACCTAAATGAACTGAACGTAAAATCTAAACTCAAGCGGCCTAACCAGAAATCCTATCATGGGCACCTAACATGGAGGGCGGGAGGATAACACCTTACAAACTAACAACTAAAAAAATAACACATCCACAGGGCTGTCAACTCGACCTTAACCTAAGCCCTGAGTCATGGCGGGTACTGCAGCAAGTGCAGAGTTGCTATGGCGTACCTGACTTAGTGCAAGTACCCAGCCCATCCTCCGGCGGATGGGTCCTCAACCGCTAAAGGTTCCGCACGGCACTGTTTTGGTTTTAACTTTACCGTTTGAGCGTTGTTCCTCTTGCCATGGTCCCCGGTTTGAAGTCTGCTCCGGATGGTCGTTGGTGTTTCCACTGGTTTCTTGCAGTCGTTGACGCGATCCAAGAAAATGGCACAACACTGAATCACAAACACTTACGTGTAGAGTGTCGTTGCAGTCACATACACAGGACAACACGTTATCCTGATCCTGCCTACATTTATCAGCCTCTTCTTCAACGTTTGTAGCACGAACACTGTTGAATCACTGCAGTGCTTTAAAATCCGAGGTGTAACAGTTGGTAGCACTGCATAAATAACCGTACATACGTTAACTCTAAAGGGGGAACTACCAGTAATAGTCCCACTAATACGGCGATAATTTGCATGAAGTTTTATCAAAAACACAAAATTCAATCAGTCTGCAAGAGAAATTTACGGATAGTGTTTCCATAGTTCCTTGTTAAAACAATTTTTATTCATTGCCGTAAAAATATGACAAATCGTTTAAATTCACATAAAAACGAAACTCGCGTATCCAGCTTGCTACACTGATAATTTTCCTGTTAATTCTGTAATTATTTTAGGCTAGAATGTTGGCACGTGATACAACCGTTGATTTATTTCGCTACATTTCGTAAAACGATTTGACAATTATGCAAAATTAAAGATTATCAAATTAAAACTAATTGTTGCGGTTGGGTCCGAATGTTTTTAGGTGACGTAGTATCCCTGTTCATCAAGAGGATTTTCTTCGTAGTAAAGTAGCCATTACGGAATAAGAAAATTCGTATAACGACAAGAGATATATTTTTGTGTGAAGGCTCTTATAAATTCAAGATTGATTAAAATAAATACTAATCTTCGTAGTTATAAAACAAAAATGGGCGTCGAATATCCCGCAACGATGTGAGGTCGTAACCAGAATTTAATAATTTGGTGAATTTTAAATTTTACTATATAATATTTACACGGACTGCGATGGAACATAACACAAAATAAATAAGGTAAAATAAATTCATAAAACAGACCTACGTGTATGTATAAAAAGTATGTGCTTTCTGCAGAGTATCCTTGCTCTGTACAGCTAAGCAGTCATGTCAATCGCTGCACTGCACCGTCATCACTCTGACGGGAGAATGAAAGCTGCACAAATATGAAAACAAAGTGGCAAAGAAATATTTTTGATTTGAAAGAGATCGCACTTAATTTAAATCCATTTACTTTGAACTTCATAATGCAGCCAGTGCACTTTCCTAACAGACAAACAAAAAACATTACGATGGGCTGGTCAGTTAGAATAGATCAGTGTTCCGCAACCGGTATGCCGCGGCACACTGGTGTGCCGTCACAAGGTGAAAGGTGCGACGCGAACTTTTACCTATTGTAAGAAGTTAATTGTCGAATTTAATTAGTTTTATTTTACCCCAGTTGTATTTTATTCTCAGCCACTGCACTGATTAAATAAGATAATACTTGTTTATTCTTTATTACATGCCGTGATTTTTTATGTACAGTAATGTTGTATTCTAAGAAATTAAACGTAAATTATTTTCTCACAGTTGTTGTTATATCATGGTTTTCATTACTGATTTATTTCTATTTTTCTCGCATCTACGTGGCTTCTATGATAAACTTGCCGCATGTTCTGTGCACGTGCTTTTCCCTAAAACTGCATGGATTAGCAAGGGTTTCCCTGTCTTTTATAACGCTATTTTGGTCATCACGAGGAAAAGTGTTAACACGAATATTTGAACTTAATGAGAAGGTACGTGCATTTTTGACTGTTGAGGGGCATGAGTACGCGGATTTATTTGCAGATGATGAATGGGTATGTAAGTTGGCATATCTTTCCGATATTTTCGTACACTTGAAGGAGCTGAACAGAAAGATGCAAGGTAGGAACGAAAATAAACTAACTAATATGGATAAGATACAAGGATTTGTAAATAAGCTGAATTTGTGGATACAGAGAATTACAGATGGGTCGTTTGAGATGTTCCCGACTGTATGGTCACTTGCTGACAGCAATAAAATGGTGATGGACACAATTAAAGAATATTTAGAAATGCTGCAGCAGAAATTCAATAAGTATTTTGGAGAGAGTGTACAAGATTTCGACTGGGTTCGTGATCCATTCGTTGCGAATTCAGAACATCTTCCGATTAATATACAAGAGGAACTCGCAGATTTAAAAGAAGACAGAACATTGAAACTAAAACTTCTCGAAGTGCCTTTGGATACGTTTTGGTTGGCAGTAAGGAGTGGATACCCGGCTATCTCCAAGATGGCAGTTAATGTGTTATTGTCATTTTCAACTACATATTTGTGTGAACTGGGCTTCTCGACCTTAACTGAAATTAAGACATCAAAGGGGGAGCGGCTCAAATCCATCGATGAAGAAATGAGACTTGCCTTGTCAACGATTCCACCACGGATCAGTCGCCTGTGTGCAGCTACGCAGGCGCAAGTATCACATTGAAGTTATGAGTAGAGTTACTGTATTTACTTTAATAGTAATAGAAGTGTATTTTCTACACTCTACAGTGAATTAAAGTTAATTAATTGTTAATAAAAGCACGAGTTGATTTCTGTTTAATGATAATAAAATGATATTATAGTAATAAGCTGATCACGTTACGTATTTATATTAATTGTCTGATATCATGCGTTTTTGAGGAGAATAACATTTTGGTGTGCCGTGTCGAGTCAAGGATACTTCATGGTGTGCCGCGAGTAGAAAAAGGTTGCGGAACACTGGAAGAGATAAACCTGATATGCATAACTAAATTTGGTGGGAAAGTGAGTACTTAGCATACACTGGTACATGATAATGTCTAATGAAAGTCCTTGGTGCTAGCTTACTAGATATTTCCGGTAACATCATCAGAGTTAATTATACAGATGTATAAATATAATTAGGGGACGTTCCTAATATTATCACGTGTTCCACCGTACAGATAGGTTATTCAAAATTATAAGAATCACAAGAAAGTTAATGTTTTAAAACGTTTCTGCATTCTTTATTTGGTGCCAGTGCCTTATAAACTATTACGTAATTCCTGCATTATCTAACAGATATTGTCAACTATTGTTACTGTGAAGAAAGCAGTCTTCTGGGATTTGGCACCGTGTATATGTGGTGTTAACCGACGTTTCGGAGGAACGTATCGCCCCCATCTTCAGGGTAGAAGAAAAAGTATAAGAAATCTGCAAGCAGACACGTCTGCTTTACCGTTTCTCACGGTGTTGTCGCTTGCAGATTTCTTATACTTTTTCTTCTACCCTGAAGATGGGGGCGATACGTTCCTCCGAAACGTCGGTTAACACCACATATATACGGTGCCAAATCCCAGAAGACTGCTTTCTTCATAGTCACCGCCGTGAAAGCCTCAAATCTTACATATTGTTACTGTGATCAAATGAAAGAGACCACGACAGGGAAGACAGGGACAGAAGGTGCATATCACATTTGGCTGGAGGACTTCACTTCGGATATGGACACAGGGATAAGAGGATAATATCAGAATTGGTCTCATAGAAACTGTGAAGCGGATTATTAGCGCTTCAGGACAGAGTCAAATTGTAGGCTCCTCTGGTGATGATGAAATTTCCTGTTTTCAAATAGCAGGAAATGTCTTATAAATATGTGACAATAGGAATGCCGGTATAAAGGGGATTGCTTCATTATCAGCTGCCGTGGATACTGCTGCTGAATGAGATCATGTAACATAAAGAGATCAGGAACTCTCCCGAGGAATCTTAGAGAAGCAGGAACTTGACAACAATGTGTAAAACAATATTTTGAGAAATGAAAGAAATTGATTAATTTAAATATTGGTAATCATTCACTCATTCATTCATGGAATTGAGACCTTCTTGAGAAGCCGCCAGTTGTGCAGCTACTCACGAACTTCCAGCATTTTATGGAATCCAAAGGTTCATTACCGTATTCACAAGAACCTTCCACTGCTCTCTATCTTGAGCCAGATTGACCCATTTTAATATTGTCCACCTACCTATATCTTGATCTCCCTGATGGTCTCTTTCCTTCCAGTTTTCCCGGCAATATCCTATATGTATTCCGCTTCTCCTCCATTCGTGCTACATGCCCTGCCCACCTAAATTTTCTTGATATGATCATTCTAATTATACTTGGCGAAGAGTACAATTTATGAAGCTCCTCATTATGAAGTTTTCTCAAACCTCCTGTCACTTCATCTCTCTTCGGCCGAAATATTCTCCTCAGCGCCCTGTCTCAAACACCCTCAGTCAATGTAAGTAAGCAAAGTAAAGCTATCCCTGTAACAGGCCGTGAAGGCCTATAGGGCTGTGAGAGGTTAAGGGTCCCACATTATCTAGATAATCGGCTCAAAGATGGCGGTAAGGTCGTCAGCCTTACGCGCCGGCCGCGCTTTACTCCCCAGGAAAATTATTTAATTATTTCCTGGTACTCATTTCTTGGACTTAAATTTGAGGAAGAAACTAGTGAAATGCTACATTTGGAGCATAGCTCTGTATGGGGCTGAAACATGGACACTTAGGGCAGTAGATCAGAAACATCCGGAAAGTTTCGAAATGTGGTGTTGGAGAAGGATGGAGAAGATCAGTTGGACCGATTATGTGAGAAATGAAGAAGTGTTAATTAGAGTCAGTGAGCAGAGGAATATCCTACATGAAATAAGAAAACGGAAGGCTAATTGGATTGGTCATGTTTTACGCAGAAACTGCCTTCTAAAAGAAGTTATCGAAGGAAAGATAGAGGGGCGGATAGAAGTGACAAGAAGACGAGGAAGAAGACGTAAGAAGATGCTGGATGACCTTGGGGACAGAAGAGGATACTGTCATTTGAAGGAGAAAGCTCTAGATCGCATTAAGTGGAGGAATTGTTTTGGAAGAGACTGTGGACCTGTCGTCTGACAGATTACTGATGATGATGACTCATTTCTGTTGGAGGCTGAGTGAACCCCAGGGCCATAGTGCGGCCGGAAGGATTAGGTTAATTGAAAAAATCCAATGACTTCATCGGGATTTGAACCCGCGACGTTCCAGCTTGTAGCATAGCCCCTCAGCCAACTACGTTACCGCCCTCAGTCAATGTTCCTCCCTTAATTGGTAATCATTACTGAAGAAATAATGAGAATCCCTCAATTGAGAACGACTTATGCGGAGTCAGTGCTCATTAACATTTGATGAATACAAGAAAATACTAATGTTAACAACTGAAGAAACCCGGAGAAACATCACGATAACACAGAAATGTTTACAGGGTTGTTGTGATTCTTAATTAGCTTCAGCTAACATTATAATTGGTATTTGGTATTGAAGAAAATCACGAGAAATCTCTGCACAGTTGAAAACATCGTACAAAATGTTATGTCCGTCCGCCACATAGCTAACAACACAGGAACCTTCCGTTAATATTATGGTTAACATTTTTATCAGGAATTGTTTAACCTGCCTTTAGCCCTTTTTGGTCAAATGCAGTGCAGCTGAAGGTTATTTAAGGGCTGTCAATTTTAAAAACGAATAGAGTAGTTCGTACATTTTTTTTTCTGAAATCCAAATCACCAGATGATAGGGGGCACATATGAGCGTACAAATTGTGAAATGTTAGTGTTTGCCGGCCATGCATAAGGAAAGACAGAAAGTTACAACTACTAGACTAAAGAAGTGCTACTTGTCAGTGTGTTAGTCAGACACTTTGTAATTTGTACGATCATATGTGGAAAATTCCATACAATATTTTACAAATCAGTTTTTATTTACTGGAAGAAACCCGTTAGAATTAAATATGTACCAACAGCATCATACTGGAAATCCAAGACCTTCATAGTAACAAGTAGGGCAATGTAACTCTCCTTTAAGAGACCTATAGGCCTGAGTGTACATATTTTAAATTATATTTACCTAGAATTGCTGGATTTTTGGACTTTGCCCATCGTTAGGTATTCTAAAAAATAGAGAACACAACATTTCGGAAACTGGATCTGTTTCCGTCCTCAGGTGAGGGGAGAGACTTCTATTCTTTTGGGTCCCTTAGAAAGAGCTAACCTCGATCACTGGACAACCCCTGTCAGCATAATTATAGCTACATAAATACCTGAGAACTGGCTTTGTGGTAGAGAGATGAGAGGAAAACATGCAATAGAAACTGTGATAAAGCATGTAGAACATTCTTCTTTACCTACATCACCTGTGGGATAAACTGAAATTCTGAAGTTTAACATGATTCAGAAGAATCCAGATCAATATTTGCAACATCATTCAATGGCAGAAAATGAATACACAGCAAAGACACACAGGGGAATATTAATATGAGAACCAGATGAAATATGTTTCACGAGAAAGACAGAAAGTTGGGCCATTTTCAGACCGAAGAAATAATAAGCACTAATATTGCCACCACAGCGATATATCTGTACAGAGTAAATTGAAAGAGGGGCCTCAGATAAGAGCCCCAAAATATTCAGAAGACCATCCTGAAGGAATAAAGACTTTTACACAGATCTCCAAAAGAACTCAAAGATTCTCTCTCTCTCAGTGCCAGTAACAGTAATGGGGAAAATAGTGATGATACAATGAGGCGAGTCATATTTGACGACATGAAAGGATCGGGAAGGATACTGTCGTGGCCATTTCAAGCTGCTATTGCTAGGTGACTGACTATTGTTGTATTTTGCGTCAGTCTTGCTAACCCATCTAGAAGGCAATCAGAAATAATCAATCCTCTTAAGAGAAATACTAAATATTAAGAGCTATATGATAAATTCATTTTTGTATTCTTCATCTGTTGCGTTTCCTCCTGTGTGAAGACCAGAACCAGTCCTAATGAACAATCATTAATTTAAATTTACAGAGCTCCGATTTATGAATCATAACATCTTACCACTATAGCCAGTTTATTCCTAAAAACGATTTCTCTTTCAAGAAGCATCACAAATTGAAATATAGTTGTGTCAGTGTTTAATTAATTAACCATTACGACATGAAGACGTTTTTGGAGCACTATTGGGCTCGGCACTACACAGAGTCGTGAAATATATATGCTATCGTGAGTTAAGGAAGTTTTTCTTTTTTACTGCTAGTGGGGTGTGACTAAGTCCCTTGTACTGCGGCCACTTCTGGCCTATTGTACCAGCCCCAGATGATAGGTGAGGGTGATTGTGGAGCAATTGTTGGAATGAAGATTGGCAGGGGAACCCGAAGAACTCGGAGAAAACTTTCCCCAGTGCCACTTTGTTCACCACAAATCCGACTTAACCAGACCCCTGGTTCGAACCCGGGCCACCGCGATGGGAGGCCAGCGACTAACCGCTTGAGGTATGGCGCGGCCGAGTTAAGGAAGCTAATTGGAGGTAAAAAAAATAAAACAAGGTAAAGCTATCCCTGTAACAGGCCGTGAGGGGCCCATAGGGTTGTGAGACGTCGAGGTTCCCACATTTTCTAGACAGTCGGCTCATAGACAGCTGTAAGTTTGTCAACCTTACGCGCCGGCCGCCATTTATCCCCCAAGAAGATCTCTGTTACAGACTGAGTCGACCCCAGGACCATAGTGCGGCTGGAGGGATTAGTTCAATTGAAAAAAATCCACTTCATCGTGACTCGAACACGCGACCTTCCGGCTTGTAGCATAATGCCCCAACCAACTACGTTACCGCATGCCACCCATTAATTATATTATTATTTGTTACTTTGTGAAACTATTGATTGCGGAGATACAATCGCATAGGAACAAATATTTAGAGATGACTTGGGAAGAAACGGTCGCGACCATCCATCCCTTGAGAAACTGAATAACATCACATGACCATCAGTGAAGAAGTATGACACCAACCGAGATTCGATCTGAGTAGCTTCAGCAACGTCAGTAACGATACACACGAAATGCATCACTGTATACTTCATAATGCTAACAGGTGTAAATTTCACTGTTATATCAGAACACAAAATGAAATTTCATAACTGGTACTGCCATCATAATTGTCTGTGTCCTTGGAAACTAATTTGAACTTCATATAACGGCGGAAATACAAATGTATGGTCTGGAATGGCAAAGCATGGCAGAAAGACGGCTACAAAATCACATGGACTGCTTTCGTTCACTTTATGCTGATCGTAATATTTATATACATAATTCTACTCTGCAACAAACTTGTATCTAAAAGTCTGATGTTAACACCTTGATAGTGCATTAACATAAACTGTAGAAAGCACCATAGTTATTAATGAAGAATATTAAGTTTGTAATTTGGATCACTTTTTGATATCTGTACGATGGCTCCCAGCCCGGGAATCCAAAATGGCTACAAAGAAAAGTAGTCAGTTCCCACTGTCAATGTATCAGTTCGTAAACTACGAATTATGCTCTTTCTGAGGAGCAGGCCGTTTGAAATGACAGTAAAATATCGCAAAGAGATACCTATTAACATTTAGATAAGATATTCTCTTAGAATACGAGAAATATTTGAATGATTGTCTCACAAATAAAAACCGCCAAAAATGGAAACAAAGTTCGAAAACATTTTCCCTCCTAATTAATGGATAACGTATGTAATAATTATCTAGTACTTACTAGGCATGACGCATACAACTTCAATCGAAATTATAATACAGTAATTTGGAAACTGATATAAAAACCACAATGATCACTTAGTTATTATAAAAGAACACAATGTGTGAAAGTAGGAGTGACAAGGCTTACTGCCCAGCAAAACAGAGTAACGCACACTGGTTTCTGAATGATATCAGCTTATATTCAATTCACTTCTAATAATATGGAACCACCAATACTTTCAAACCGCCTATTCATCAAAACTCACGGCACTGCACGCTGTTTAACCTCACACGATAAGTACGGAAACATGAAACATTAGTGGACAGGCAAATTCTACCTGCCTCCTCACTCGCACTGACACGACTGAACGCGATATCTCACGTAGTAAGGGAGAAACTTCCAATTTATCCGTAAGATGTCACTGACACGCGGTGGCGGCTGAGGTAAGATTATTTTACAGTTTACATTCAAATGATATAATGAAACAAATTCCGTCCCAAATGCAAACAATATATTATGTGTCCTTGATCTTGTTCCTCTACACTACATGTTTCGGCCTCAGACGGCCATCCTCAGGTGTATAACACTCACGTTGCTGTCACACTGCACCCAGCCCAAAATTTAACATTTAAAACACTTTCCTTGTTATTATCAACATCTACTTCGTTGATATCTGTCTGATATGTATCATTATATCATTTATCGTATGGAGTGCAACAGGATGCTTAAATATAATATTGTTACATTCAAATGTCGAAATCAAAGAACACAATGCATAGAGATGTCGCTCAATTTGGAATTAAGTCCCAGTTGATTTGATAAGGACTGTCTATTTTGGCTACGTCATTAATGTAGAAGTTACAATGGAATGGACATGTACTTTCGATGGAAGAAACAGGACGTAGGAAGTTGTATGGGAAAACGTATTGGAAAGTGGTTTGTTGGAAGACCTAGAGGAGAATTGGGAAAATACGTTAATTTGGATCTCAGGGTCATGGGTGTTGAAGGTCAGAAGTGGAATAAATTAGCTCAGGGTCTTTCCCAGTGTTCCCAATGGCTGACTTTCATATTGTGAGTGCTGAAACTTCGAACCCTCATACTAAAGTTAGTTAAATTCTTTGTATACTTACTTGTCACTTAAACTGCGTTAAGCAAGCCACTAATCCAACAGGCCTACAAAAGTGTGCGTTCCTCACTGACGTCCAGTTGCCTGCGTCCTTGTAATAGATGACAATTACACACGCTTCTCGCCCCTGCTTAGGGAACTTGGGCTTATGTCTGATTCATTTAGCGACGCTTCTCATAATTATATATGTTATGTAGCTTAGACCGGTTGCAGAACTATGAATGATCAATTGGAAACACATGTGGAAGTGGTTGTGATCTATTTTAAGGCATTACTCCTGCTTCTGGGGTGAGCCGGGGTAGCGCAGTCGGTATAGCGACTGCCTACTGGCTGAATGACCGAGGGATCAGAACTCGAGTCCCGGTAGGGTCAGAATTTTCTCCTTTCCATATCGCCCAAACCGCCTCTGGAGCACACTCAGTCTCCTATCCAATGGGTACCGGGGGCTCTTTCCCCGGGGGTAAAGCGGCAGGGGCGTGAAGCTGAACACTCACCTCCAGCTAGTACAGAGGTCAAGAATGTGGAACTATACATCCACTCCCCCATACGCCTTCATGGTGTAGTACTGAATTAGTTAAGGATAGGGACAGCTTTACCTTACTTTTTACGCCTGCTTCTGCTTCGGGAAACTGAGGACGGTTAAGAAACAAACCCTGCCAGAATGACAGGTCTCCTGCTAGAAATCTGAACCAGAGATTCCTGCCCATTTCCTAGCCGACAGGGCTAACTATCTGGTCACCGAGTCGTAACCGCTGTCAGAAATGCCAGGGTTCAAGTCCCACTGTGGGCAAATGATATTTCTGTTCACTGCGCCCGGCTGCTCTCCAAAGGTGTCGGCCACTCAAGGTATAGCGGTTAGCAGGGATGCTTCGTGCCCCTGAGGACCCCAGTGGTGTTCCTCAATCATTCAGCTCGAATCTCTTAAGTAGGCCACGACCATTCCATATCCCCTCTAATATATCATTCACAATCATCATGTAAAATTTACGAAGCCGACAAGTAACTGGGCCAGGAAAGAGATAGCGTCATAAAGTAATGGAATAAACAAACGCACATTTAATTGGAGGTAAAGCGACCGAAGTTTGAAGCTGTTAACTCAGTTTGAACATGCGTGATGTAGTCTAGAATGAGTGGAGTTTTACATTTATGTCCTCTGCACGGTTTCGTGTCCTGAATGTTCATAAATACATTCAGAATTAATCTGGTATACGAGTATACTATGTTTTCAGTAGCTTTGTATTCTTATAATTAATACAAAACCGTGTTAAGTAAATCTTCCTTTCATTACTGACGGTCCATTTTATGAAGACAGGCACGGAACAAATCGGCTCAAGCGTCAAAGCATCCGACTTGCATTCGAGATGTGCTCGGTTCGGATCTCAGCAGGGGCACCGCATGTCTTCAATGAGGTTTTCCGTGGATTTCCTCAGTTCTTCCATATAACTGTCAAGCTAGAACCTTAAATTAGGCAATGGCCGCTTCCTTTCACATCATTTTCAACCCATGGTTGAATTTCATCCGATATTTTGACTTCATGTAATCTCACTTATTGACGGTATCATTAAATAAACTCGAAATAGCGATAATAAAAAAAAAGACAAGCTGTATGGAGCGTATGGAGGGTGGTCTAGTGAACCAGCCGTCACTGGGCCTTCCACAGAAACAAGTGAATTTACAGAGAGGACACATGCAAAACTAGCCAATGACGAGCCCCGGTGCAGGTATACAACCCCTCCACCCTCTCTTCGTAACCTTCACTACTACTAGCGTTATGTGAGAATATGAACTGACAGCACGTTTTCTTTTTAGACCAGATAACCCACAGCGAGAATCCATAATATAAAACGAAGGAAAACTCTGTATTAATGTATGTTTGTAAGCAAGTAAATTCCAAGGCTTAACTCTTCTAAACTTACAAGAATTACTGAATGTCACAGAGCAAAAATCGTAGCTGCACTAAAAGTGAAGTGGCTTGGGTTCGAATCTAAAAGTAGTCCTAATATTCCTGCGGTTTCCATTCAACTTCATCAGACTCTGCATATATGTCATGCAACCGCACGTTGCCGCTCTCGAGTCTTTTTTCTGTAAATGAAAACTTGTTAAATAGTTACTTTCCACTTTTGTATTGACGTTAGGATTGTCCCACAGGGCCAGGTTTAAGATGTCGACACCATTACAGAGTTTTATGTCACGTTCAGGTACCAACGTGATTTACGCTATTTTGCAGAGTGTTCTAATGGCAATGCATAGGATCCCTCTATAATAGCTGAGAAGTAATCACGCTGACAAAACGATCCATATGTTTATGAAATGCGAATATTCGTTACTAAGTTACAAAAGATGGTCTCGCAGCCAAGAGTAATTTTATTTCATAATAATAATAACAACTGCAAAGGGCACACTCATTCGTAAGAAGCTTATAATAATTCACCGGGTCAAGAAATTGCGCGTCTCTTTTTAAACCAGAAAGTTCAGTACCATGTTCACCAGATGTTTATCTGCTGTTAATAACTTTAAGGCCTTCTTTAGGACGCATGATTATTATTCATGGCAGGCGTCCCTTTGGCCATGCAGG